TCTGGTGTGCTGCAATGTGTTTCGACTCTTTGGAATAGAGTGCGGACACAGCTACGTTTGTGAGACAGAGGATGGTTGCTGTTGAAGTGTAGGATCTGTCTCGTGTCGGTGGATTTCCGGAATACTGCGGTTTGCAGTTGTCCAGTTGTATACCGGCGCACAAACACGTCAAGGAGTGGCAGTTGGTTGTTCGTTTCTGATTCCATCGTAAATTGGATATCCGGGTCAACCGAGTTTAGTAGTTCCTTAAGGTGCTCAATGTCAGTTGTTTTGACAACGACGAAGGTGTCATTGACATAGCGAGCCCAGAACTTTGGTTGATACTTGGTGAACACCGAGTGTTCTATCCGTTGGAGAACTACTTCAGCGATCAGACCGTAAAAACGAGCCGTGGCGGTGTCAGTGGGTTTCATGGAGAATCAGTCGGCGGGCGTAATTGCCTCCTTGGCCCTGAGGTTTCTCAGGCTTTTGTTTATCCGTGTGATTAGATTTTTAATTTCACTGGCACGGCATTGTTTGTAGGTATGCGGGTCTTCGAGTAAGTCGTGTACCTTCATCTGGTAATCCGATTTGTCCAGCACAACTGTTGAGCGTCCTTTGTCCGCTGGCAGAATAATTATGTCCTTGTCTGCTTTTCGGCTTTTCAGTGCTCGTTGTTCCACACTGCTAAGAGTTTCGCACCTCTTGTGTCGCATAAGCAACGAGGACGTTTGGTGACGGATCAAATCTTTCGTCTCTTCTGATGCCCTTGTTAACTGAAGAACAGATTTGAAGGCAGCAATGAACTGTGCGGGTGCGGCATCTGCTGTGTTAAAAGTGGCTCCACGTTCAAGAACTGCGAGTTGTGTGCCTGTGAGGGGTTTGGAGGAAAGGTTGTGGACTAGGATGCCCGACGAGTTGTCAGGGTTTGGTCCTCGAAGTTTTTCCAATTTTGTAGATAATTCCTTGTCTCTTTTGACACGTACTTTCTGAGCGTGTCTGAGAAACGTCAGCTCAAAATCCTTCGATTCTTCACCGGCAGCTGTCCAGAGATGACATTTAAATTACCCTATCTCCAAGTTGTAGCGTTCTAGTCTTTGATGACAATCGTTAACTAGCACTCTCGTCATTCTTCTGCCCAGTCAGGCTACAGTCTCTCTTGCTAGATAAGAATTCACAGGAGGCTTGTAAGTGACGCTCTTTGGGGTCAATTGGTTGGCAAGGCAGCGGTGGAGGAAGTGCCGTTGCGCTCGAGTTGACGCAATCCGCAGGGCGAATTTCTCACAACGGCGCGCTGCACGGAGCACTGATGGCTCAAAACAATCTGTTCAGATTGGCAAAGTTGAGAGATCCGGGTCGATTATTTGAAGAAGAAGAAGAAGAAGAATAAGAAGAAGAAGAGGAAGAAGAAGAAGAAGAAGAAGAAGAAGAAGAAGAAGGTTGGTTCACCGGAACAGGTTCATTAAGATGCTGACGTTTCGAAGAGCTTGGTCGGCTCTCCATTGCAACTGCACAACTGCAAACCGCAGTATTCCGGAAATCCACCGACACGAGACAGATCCTACACTTCAACAGCAACCATCCTCTGTCTCACAAACGTAGCTGTGTCCGCACTCTATTCCAAAGAGTCGAAACACATTGCAGCACACCAGA